AATTTGTTTCTTAAGTCATCAAACACTTCAAGAACTTATTACCTCATTAAATACCTCCAAATACTTATTACTTCAATCGACAATTGTGGTATTGTCACTCTGCCACATGATAGTCAGTACTGGGTATACACCAGATATCACTGGACCCTCAGGTCTTACCTTACCAAGTAGCAAATTAACTCTTCACTTCTTGGTTATATCATTATACTCTCAGATTATCATTTCATGGTCACTACCAATGAATACATAACACACTGGACAACTCCACAATTATCTCAACATACAATACCTCCTGTTAATTCACACGGAACGACATGGCACTTTTAACTCTCATTCAGTGGTTCAATACTTAACCTGGGATACTATATTTCTGCTAGTTATCCCCAAACAAGATACCATAATACTTAGGCCTATGTGACTGAGGAGTGCCCCAGGGTAACGCTGGTCTCTACAACAAATGAGGATCGCTGTTAGGGGTCGGTTGTAGACCGACACACGCTCAGGGAGTGCGCGCCTGATTTGCAGGAAACGGACTTCCCAGTTCAGTCCTGTCGAATCAACGGCATCGTCCAACCCGGTTACCGCCCCACGTTAGCCGATGAGTATTCAGCTCAACACACTGGAGAGACGTTGAGGAAGTCACGAATGCCAAAAGGTCTAACTTCAACTATACAAAACATACGCCTGGCAACGGTTCAGACGATATCTAAATCTCTACGTTAGTCGACTTAATTGGCACAGAATTCACTATGTTAACACATGAACACTGATATTCACCAAAATTGACTAAGTTAAACTGAATTAATAGGCGGCGGGAACACACGTTAACATACCTGGAGAGACGTTGAGGAAGTCACGAATGCATGATTCTCCCTCGTGTAGAGGTCTACAACCGACCCCTAACAGCGATCCTCATTTGTTGTAGAGACCAGCGTTACCCTGAGGCACCAGTCTCTTCGGAGGCGTGGGTTCGGATCCCACCGCTGCCACCATTTGTAACGGGCCGAGTTTCATGTTTACAGTAGAATCTACACATTCCTAAAAACCGGCAAACTTGCTTCACATTAATTGGGGGTTTAGGTTTACACTCTGTTACAGCTCGGACATTCTCTGGATCTGGTTCAATGCCTCTCTCTGACATTACAATGACAGATCGAACCAACGTATAGCTCTATCTTAGGTTGAGTAGAAGTACCACTCATCCACGGTGGGGTTAATTAAACGAGGTGATGAACTATACTCTGTGTGTGTGTGTGTGTGTGTGTGTGTGGTCATGAAATAAAGTGAGTAAGGGCGCAAGTGAGGTAATGGGGAAGGGAGGGAGGGGGAATGTTGGTGGTGGTGATGAGAGAGAGAGAGAGAGAGTAGTCTTGAAGGAGAGGAGAGGGAGTGAGGGAATGAAAGAAAGAAAAGAGAGAGAGAATGAATGAAGGATTGAAGGAAGGATTAAATACGTAAAATAAATAAAAGAAGGAATGAAGGAGTAAGGGAGAGAGTGTAGACAGAGATTACACCAGACACAGGAACCAACACATTCATCATCTCATACAGCGGTGTTAGATGGACCGTCACCCACACACACCCACACACACACACACACACACACACACACACACACACACACACACACACACACACACACACACACACACACACACACACACACACACACACACACACACACATGAATATTAAAACATCTCATGATAACAGTAATGTGAGAGCCAACCAGAAGTCCATTTCGGGCTGCTGGAGGAGATGAAGATGTCCCATGTTGTCTTAGTCACTGATGAACCTTTAATTAAAACATCATATTTAATCCAAGTTGTTTAATGACATTGATTTAGGGAGTTTGTTTACGTGTAGTGTAAGAAAGTTGTTTATAGTCCACCCTGAACCTTAAAATTAATATCAATATTATCCCTAAATCCTTAAAATATTCCCTTAAATAAAGCAGAAAGTCAGATTATCAAATTAAGTGAGATTATCACTTTAAGAGTTACTTCACGAGATGACAATTATATTACAGTGTCGTCTTCATATCAGCTATACAGTTTCATTTCAACAAACAAGTTCATATTACATCTTGCAGAGTTGAAATTAGTTTATATATGTCGCTGGGATCTCGTGTTATACCCGTGACAGTTCCCGGACGCTGCTGGTGAAGTGAAGGAATCTAGTATACGAATTTATATAACTGGTAAGAGGAAGGAACTGTGTTGGAGTACTGGAGTTTAGATTTACAAAAGTTCTTACATTGAATACTGCTGCATGGTAACTAACTGCATGGGTGACTGATATTAGGGAGCGATAAAATATCAATAATTAACATCAAAATTACACTAGGGTTCTGCCATAACTAGATAAGTTAACTTAGGATGTGTTAAGGAGGATGAAATTAATGTTGAGAATCTTATATAAAAGTTAACGTTGTCCCTGGGGAAAAAATCACAGAAGAGTGGGTGAGGGGGTGAGCGAGGGTGGAAGGGGGGAGTGAGAGAGGGACTGGGTGAGAGAAGGACTGGGTGAGACAGTGAGGGAGGGGGGAAGGGGGGAGTGAGAGAGGTACTGGGTGAGAGAGTGAGGGAGGAAGAGAAACAGGAGTGAGAGTAGATGTGGTTGATTGCTAGGGAGGGTAGATGAAAGAGGAAGGCCTGGGGGGGGGGAAGTCTTGTGAAGGGACGGAGGCGAGGAGACAGAGGGTCGTGTGTGTGTGTGTGTGAGTGTCAGGAGAGCCGAGGTGATCCCACATCTGTCATTTACCCAGAATACATCCGAAGAAAACCCGATGAGAAAAAGGAAAGGAAAAGAAGAAATGCGATAAAGAAAAAAAACAGAAAGGGAAAGAGAATGAGAAGCGCCACAGCAACAACAGCGGCAGTAAGAGCAACCTGTAGGATGGGTAGGAGGTGAAGACGACGGCGCGGCAACAGCAACAGCAGGGGACGGTAATGGAAGCTCTTTAAAGAAATCGTTCCTGTCGAGGCGTGATACAGTCAAGATCTGGATCAAGATGAAAACAAACCTTCCGCCTTTCTTCTTTTTTAGTTCTTAACACGTTTACTGAGCGTTCCAGTATAACGGAGGTCAATTTGTCCCTGTCGGTGGTGTTGGCGAAGTCTGCGGAGTAGCATCAGGCGTCCGGGGAGAGAAGGTTAAACTATTACATCTCTGAACGTGTAAACAAATACCACCTTTGGGCTCATATATTATCATACAGAAAGTCGTCATTACGCTTTGATGGATTTTGTCTTTAACTGAAAACCTAACTTAACCTAACAGTACGTAACACCATAACCTTCCCTAACCTATACCATTACGTAACCTAACCTAACCTAACCTAACTAAACCCATCCTAACCTAGTAGATAAAACTATTGGTTTGCCGACAAAAAAAAACCGTGCATAAACCAGGCGGGTCTTTGTGTAAAACCTCAATGACCGAACGAAAGAGAGGAAGCAAAGGACACGAGAATAAATGAATGTTGATGGGAGTAGTGATGAAAGAAGTGTTTGGGTGAGAAGAGATGAAGGACTTGGGACAGAGAGAGAGATAAAGTGGGGTAGGCGAGAGAGAAGGCGACAGATAAATGTTTTGGGGGGAGGGAAAGATGGAATGGATGAAATGGTGATAGGAGCAGATAGAAGAGTGACTGAAAGTGAGAGAGTGAATGAGAGAGAGAGGAGAGAGTGTAATAATAATAATAATAATAATAATAATAATAATAATAATAATAATAATAATAATAATAATAATAATAATAATAATAATAATAATAATAATAATAATAATAATAATAATAATAATAATAATAATAATAATAATAATAATAATAATAATAATAATAATAATAATAATAATAATAATAATAATGATAATAATAATAATAATAATAATAATAATAATAATAATAATAATAATAATAATAATAATAATAATAACGGTTTATTGAAAGAGCTTGGCAGCCAGAAGGCTGAAAATATACAGTTACATATTTGGGGAATGGGTTTCGAATTACAAATAATATACAAGTAACATAAGTGATACAAATAAGATATATAATAACTAGATGGGGAAAAGCTCAAACTACAGTGCATTTCAACATAGTGACAGTGCAAGAAGTAATATTTACTGGGAGTGAATACACTGGTTTATTACAAGTTATTGATGATTTTTACAATGGTTGGGGCTGGGCTGTTCTTATAGCGATCAGTTCTTGCACGTATGGGCTGGATGCGGTTGTGGTGTCGAACAGCAATTCGTGGACAAGATCTCTAGGATGATGCAGAATCTTCGCCCCAAATTTGCAGATGAGGTCATGGAGATGATAAGAGATAGCCGAGAGGGTCATTGTGTTGAGCGCTTCTTGATATGTGAAGTAGGAAGGGGAGAGAATAACCTTTCATGCTCTCTTTTGCACTTTTTCTAGGTGTTTATGTTATGTGGCATTTAGGGAGAAACACCAGGCAGGGGAAGAAGCATAGGTGAGCTTGGGAAGCATGATTGTTAACTTATCATAACCTAACCTAAAAATTTATTGTGACCAAACCTAACTTATCCTAATCTAACCTAAATTAACCAACGCAAACATAATCTAATCTTACCTAACGAAATCAATATACTTGGGTCCCTAATAATCTTGAAAGCCCTGGGAGGGACCCTGGGGGAACCACCTAAGGACGTAGCTGTCCCTAGAAGAGCCCCATGGGGGAGATGCTGTCCATGGGAGGGCCCCTGGGTGCGCCAACACACCTGGCAGGACCCCTGGGAGAGCCCCAGTGGGCGCCGCCGTCCCTCGAAGGGCCCCTGGTGGTGCCACCGCCCCTGGAAGGGCCCTTGGGGACGCCACCGCCTCTGGAAGGGGCCCCTGTGGGAATCACCTTCCCTGGCAGGACCCCTTAGGGTACCACAATCCGTGGGAAGGCCTCTGTGGGCGCCGCTGTCCCCGCAAGAAACCCCTGGCGGCACCACCGCCCCTGTCAGAGCCTGGGGGACGCTACTGCCTCTGGGATGGCACCTGGGAGCGTCACCGTCTCTGGTAAGGCCCCAGAGGGCGTCCCTGGGAGGGCTCCTGTGGGCACCACTACCCCTGGGAAGGTCCCAGGGGGCACCGACGCCTCTGGGAGGGAGCCTTGAGGCTCCATCGCCCCACACAGGGAATGTGGTGGCATTACCACCTCTAACAGGAGCCCTGAGAGCGTCCCTCTTTCTGGGAGGGCCCCTGAGGTGCACCACCACCTCTGGCAATGCCCATGGTGTAATCTCCAGTGGGCGCCACCGCCCCTGGGAGGGCTCCTGGAGGCGATACCGCCCCGGGCAGGGCCCTTAGGAGCACCGCTATTCCTGGGAAAGCTCCTGTGGGCACCACGACCCCTGGCAGGACCCCTGGGATGGACCCAGGGCCACCGTCGCCCCTAGGAGGGAACATGGGGGCACCACCGTCCCTTGCAGGGTCCCTTAGGGTACCAACGCCTCTAGGGTCGTCACCTCACCTGGAAGGACCCCTGGGAGCACTAGCGCCCCTGGCAGGGCCCCTGGGAGGGCTCCAGGGAGTACCACCGCCTCTGAGAGGGCTCCTGCAGACGTCACGGCCCCTGGAAGGGCTCCTGGGGGCACCACCGCCCCTAGCAGGGCTCCTAGGGGCGCTGCTGTCCCTGGGAGGGCCGCTGAGAGCTTCACTGTCCCTGCAACGGCCCCTGGGGGCGCCACCACCTGAGAGATATGACGTTAAATAGATGATGCACCGTCCATCGCATTTTTAGTATCATCGTATCCTGAACAATGAAAAGGAGAATAAATATCCAACAGGAAAACATAAATTTGGGTGTTGTGCCGACTGATTGCTCTGTTCTCATATATTTAATTTGGTGGATTTACATTTTATTCCACCAATCAGAGTTAAGTAAGGAATTGCTGGACGTATGCAATATTGTCGACACCACGCTCAAGCCCCTAGGGGTGTGCTTTCCATGGGAGGCCCCCTGAGAGCACCATTACCTCTGGCAGGGCCCCTGGGCGGGCCCCAATGGGCGACGCCATCCCTGGAAGGGCCCTTGGTGGTGCCACCGCCCCGGAAGGGCCCCTGGGGACGCCACCGCCTCTGGGAGGGCCCCTGTGGGAATTACCTTCCCTGGCAGGACCGCCGAGGGTACCACTGTCCCTGGGAAGGCCCCTGTGGGCGCCACTGTCCCCGCCAGAGCCGGTGTGGACACCAGAGCCCCTATCAGAGCCCCTGGGGACGCTACTGCCTCTGGGATGGTACCTGGAAGAGTCACCACCTCTGGCAGGGCCCCAGAGGGCGTCCCTGAGAGGGCTCCTGTGGGCACCACTACCCCTGGGAGGGTCCAATTGGGCGCCGTCGTCCCTGTGAAGGACCCTTGGGGCTCCATCTCCCCTGACAGGGAACCTGGTGGCATTACCACCTCTGACAGGAGCCCTGAGAGCGTCCCTGTTTCTGGGAGGGCCCCTGAGGGGCACCATCGCCTCGGGCAATGCCCATGGTACATCTCCAGTGGGCGCCACCGCCCCTTGGAGGGCTCCTGGAGACGATACCGCCCCTGGCAGGGCCCTTAGGAGCACCGCTATCCCTGGGAGAGCTCCTGTGGGCACCACAACCCCTAGCAGGACCCCTGGAATGGTCCCAGGGTCACCGTCGCCCCTGGGAGGGACCATGGGGGCACTACCGTCCCTTGCAGGGTCCCTTGGAGTACCAACGTCTCTAGGGGCGTCACCGCACCTGGAAGGACCCCTGTTAGCACTACCGCCCCTCGCAGAGCCCCTAGGAGGGCTCCAGGGAGTACCACCTCCTCTGGGAGGGCTCCTGCAGACGTAACCGCACCTGGAAGGGCTCCCAGGGGCGCTGCTCTTTCTGGGAGGGCAGCTGAGAGCGCCACTGTCCCTGCAAGGGCACCTGGGGGCGCGACCGCCTGAGAGATATGACGTTAAATAGATACACCGTCCATCGCATTTCCAGTATCATCATATCCTGAACAATGAAAAGGAGAATAAATATCCAACAGGAAAACATGAATTTGGGTGTTGTGCCGACTGATTGCTCTGTTCTCATATTGCCTTTAATTTGGTGGATTTACATTTTATTCCACCAATCAGAGTTAAGTAAGGAATTCCTGGACGTATGCAATATTGTCGACACCACGCTCAAGCCCCTAGGGGTGTGCTTTCCATGGGAGGCCCCCTGAGAGCGCCACCACACATGGAAGGGCCCCTGGGCGGGCCCCAGTGGGCGCCGCCGTCACTGGAAGGGCCCCTGGTGGTGCCACCACCCCTGGCAGGGCCCCTGGGCGGGCTCCAATGGGCGCCGCCGTCCCTAGAAGGGCCCTTGGTGGTGCCACCGCCCCTGTAAGGGCCCCTGGGGACGCCACCGCCTCTGGGAGGGCCCCTGTGGGAATTACCTTCCCTGGCAGGACCCCCGAGGGTACCACTGTCCCTGGGAAGGCCCCTGTGGGCGCCGCTGTCCCCGCAAGAGCCGGTGTGGACACCAGAGCCCCTGTCAGAGCCCCTGGGGACGCTACTGCCTCTGGGATGGTACCTGGAAGAGTCACCGCCTCTGGCAGGGCCCCAGAGCGCGTCCCTGGGAAGGCTCCAGTGGGCACCACTACCCCTGGGAGGAGGGTCCATTGGGGCGCCGTCGTCCTGTGAAGGACGCCAGGGGCTCCACTCTCCCCTGACAGGGGAACCTGAGTGGCATTACCACCTCTGACAGGAGCCTGAGAGCGTCCCTGTTTCTGGGAGGGCCCTGAGGGGCACCATCGCCTCAGGCAATGCCCATGGTACATCTCCAGTGGGCGCCACCGCCTGCAGGCCTCCTGGGAGGCCACCCTGGCAGGGGCCCTTGAGCACCGCCCTATCCTGGGAGAGCTCCTGTGAGCACCACAGCCCCTAGCAGGACCCTAAGATGGTCCCAGGTCACCATCGCCCCCTGGGAGAGGGACCATGGGGGCACTAAATCCTGCAGGGGTCCTTGGGGGGTACCAACGTCTCTGGGGGGCGTCACCGCACCTGGAAGGACCCCCTATTGCTTTCACCGCCCCTGCAGGAGTCTCCTGGGAGGGCTCCAGGGAAGTACCACCTCCTCTGGGAGGAGGGCTCCTGCGGAACACGTAACCGCCCCTAGCAAGGCTCCTAGGGGCGCTGCTGTCCCTGGGAGGGCCGCTGAGAGCTTCACTGTCCCTGCAACGGCCCCTGGGGGCGCCACCACCTAAGAGATATGACGTTAAATAGATGATGCACCGTCCATCGCATTTCCAGTATCATCGTATCCTGAACAATGACAAGGAGAATAAATATCCAACAGGAAAACATAAATTTGGGTGTTGTGCCGACTGAATGCTCTGTTCTCATATTGCCTTTAATTTGGTGGATTTACATTTTATTCCACCAATCAGAGTTAAGTAAGGAATTGCTGGACGTATGCAATATTGTCGACACCACGCTCAAGCCCCTAGGGGGTGTGCTTTCCATGGAAGGCCCCCTGGGAGCGCCACCACCCCTGGCAGGACCCCTGGGAGGGTCTCAGTGGGCGCCGCCGTCCCTGGAAGGGCCCCTGGTGGTACCACCGCCCCTGGAAGGGCCCTTGGGGACGCCACAGCCTCTGGGAGGGCCCCTGTGGAAATCACTTTCCCTGGAAGGACCCCTGAGGGTACCACTGTCCCTGGGAAGGCCCCTGTGGTCGCTGCTGTCCCCGCAAGAGCCCCTGGGGGCACCAACACCCCTATCAGAGCCCCTGGGGACGCTACTGCCTCTGGGATGGCACCTGGGAGAGTCACCGTCTCTGGTAAGGCCCCAGAGGGCGTCCCTGGGGGGGCTCCTGTGGGTACCACTACCCCCGGGAAGGTCCCAGGGGGCACCGTCGCCCCAGGGACGGAGCCTTGGGGCTCCACCGCCCCTGACAGGGAATGTGGTGGCATTACCACCTCTGACAGGAGCCCCTGAGGTGCACCACCACCTCTGGCAATGCCCATGGTAGATCTCCTGCGGGCGCCACCGCCCCTGGGAGGGCTCCTGGAGGCGATACCGCCCCAGGTAGGGCCCTTAGGAGCACCGCTATTCCTGGGAGAGCTCCTGTGGGCACCACGACCCCTGGCAGGACCCCTGGGATGGTCCCAGTGCCACCGTCGCCCCTGGGAGGGACCATGGGGGCACCACCATCCATTGCAGGGTCCCTTAGGGTACCAACGCCCCTAGGGGCGTCACCGAACCTGGAAGGACCCCTGGGAGCACTAGCGCCCCTGGCAGGGCCCCTGGGAGGGCTCCAGGGAGTACCACCGCCTCTGAGAGGGCTCCTGCAGACGTCACGGCCCCTGGAAGGGCTCCTGGGGGCACCACCGCCCCTAGCAGGGATCCTAGGGGCGCTGCTGTCCCTGAGAGGGCCGCTGAGAGCTTCACTGTCCCTGCAACGGCCCCTGGGGGCGCCACCACCTGAGAGATATGACGTTAAATAGATGATACACCGTCCATCGCATTTCCAGTATCATCATATCCTGAACAATGAAAAGGAGAATAAATATCCAACAGGAAAACATAACTTTGGGTGTTGTGCTGACTAATTGCTCTGTTCTCATATATTTAATTTTGTGGATTTACATTTTATTCCACCAATCAGAGTTAAGTAAGGAATTGCTGGACGTATGCAATATTGTCGACACCACGCTCAAGCCCCTAGGGGTGTGCTTTCCATGGGAGGCCCCCTGAGAGCACCACCACACCTGGCAGGGCCCCTGGGCGGGCCCCAATGGGCGACGCCATCCCTGGAAGGGCCCTTGGTGGTGCCACCGCCCCTGGAAGGGCCCCTGGGGACGCCACCGCCTCTGGGAGGGCCCCTGTGGGAATTACCTTCCCTGGCAGGACCGCCGAGGGTACCACTGTCCCTGGGAAGGCCCCTGTGGGCGCCGCTGTCCCCGCAAGAGCCGGTGTGGACACCAGAGCCCCTATCAGAGCCCCTGGGGACGCTACTGCCTCTGGGATGGGACCTGGAAGAGTCACCACCTCTGGCAGGGCCCCAGAGGGCGTCCCTGGGAGGGCTCCTGTTGGCACCACTACCCCTGGGAGATCCAATTGGGCGCCGTCGTCCCTGTGAAGGACCCTTGGGGCTCCATCGCCCCTGACAGGGAACCTGGTGGCATTACCACCTCTGACAGGAGCCCTGAGAGCGTCCCTGTTTCTGGAAGGGCCCCTGAGGGGCACCATTGCCTCGGGCAATGCCCATGGTACATCTCCAGTGGGCGCCACCGCCCCTCGGAGGGCTCCTGGAGACGATACCGCCCCTGGCAGGGCCCTTAGGAGCACCGCTATCCCTGGGAGAGCTCCTGTGGGCACCACAACCTCTAGCAGGACCCCTGGAATGGTCCCAGGGTCACCGTCGCCCCTGGGAGGGACCATGGGGGCACTACCGTCCCTTGCAGGGTCCCTTGGGGTACCAACGTCTCTAGGGGCGTCACCGCACCTGGAAGGACCCCTGTTAGCACTACCGCCCCTCGCAGAGCCCTTGGGAGGGCTACAGGGAGCACCACCTCCTCTGGGAGGGCTCCTGCAGACGTCACCGCACCTGGAAGGGCTCCTAGGGGCGCTGCTGTTTCTGGGAGGGCCGCTGAGAGCGCCACTGTCCCTGCAAGGGCACCTGGGGGCGCGACCGCCTGAGAGATATGACGTTAAATAGATACACCGTCCATCGCATTTCCAGTATCATCATATCCTGAACAATGAAAAGGAGAATAAATATCCAACAGGAAAACATAAATTTGGGTGTTGTGCCGACTGAATGCTCTGTTCTCATATTGCCTTTAATTTGGTGGATTTACATTTTATTCCACCAATCAGAGTTAAGTAAGGAATTGCTGGACGTATGCAATATTGTCGACACCACGATCAAGCCCCTAGGGGGTGTGCTTTCCATTGGAGGCCCCCTGGGAGCACCACCACCCCTGGCAGGACCCCTGGGAGGGTCTCAGTGGGCGCCGCCGTCCCTGGAAGGGCCCCTGGTGGTACCACCGCCCCTGGAAGGGCCCTTGGGGACGCCACCGCCTCTGGGAGGGCCCCTGTGGAAATCACTTTCCCTGGAAGGGCCCCTGAGGGTACCACTGTCCCTGGGAAGGCCCCTGTGGTCGCTGCTGTCCCCGCAAGAGCCCCTGGGGGCACCAACACCGATGTCACAACCCCTGGGTACGCTACTGCCTCCGGGATGGCACCTGGGAGAGTCACCGTCTCTGGTAAGGCCCCAGAGGGCGTCCCTGGGGGGGCTCCTGTGGGCACCACTACCCCCGGGAAGGTCCCAGGGGGCACCGTCGCCCCTGGGAGGGAGCCTTGGGGCTCCATCGCCCCTGACAGGGAATGTGGTGGCATTACCACCTCTGACAGGAGCCCTGAGAGCGTCCCTCTTTCTGGGAGGGCCCCTAAGGTGCACCACCACCTCTGGCAATGCCCATGGTAGATCTCCAGTGGGCGCCACCGCCCCTGGGAGGGCTCCTGGAGGCGATACCGCCCCGGGCAGGGCCCTTAGGAGCACCGCTATTCCTGGGAGAGCTCCTGTGGGCACCACGACCCCTGGCAGGACCCCTGGGATGGTCCCAGTGCCACCGTCGCCCCTGGGAGGGACCATGGGGGCATCACCATCCCTTGCAGGGTCCCTTAGGGTACCAACGCCCCTAGGAGCGTCACCGAACCTGGAAGGACCCCTGGGAGCACTAGCGCCCCTGGCAGGGCCCCTGGGAGGGCTCCAGGGAGTACCACTGCCTCTTAAAGGGCTGCTGCAGACGTCACGGCCCCTGGAAGGGCTCCTGGGGGCACCACCGCCCCTAGCAAGGCTCCTAGGGGCGCTGCTGTCCCTGGGAGGGCCGCTGAGAGCTTCACTGTCCCTGCAACGGCCCCTGGGGGCGCCACCACCTGAGAGATATGACGTTAAATAGATGATGCACCGTCCATCGCATTTCCAGTATCATCGTATCCTGAACAATGACAAGAGAATAAATATCCAACAGGAAAACATAAATTTGGGTGTTGTGCCGACTGATTGCTCTGTTCTCATATTGCCTTTAATTTGGTGGATTTGCATTTTATTCCACCAATCAGAGTTAAGTAAGGAATTGCTGGACGTATGCAATATTGTCGACACCACGATGAAGCCCCTGGGGGTATGCTTTCCATGGAAGGCCCCCTGGGAGCGCCACCACCCCTGGCAGGACCCCTGGGCGGGCCCCAGTGGGCGTCGCCGTCCCTGGAAGGGCCCCTGGTTGTGCCACCACCTCTGGCAGGGCCCCTGGGCGGGCCCCAATGGGCGACGCCATCCCTGGAAGGGCCCTTGGTGGTGCCACCGCCCCTGGAAGGGCCCCTGGGGACGCCACCGCCTCTGGGAGGGCCCCTGTGGGAATTACCTTCCCTGGCAGGACCGCCGAGGGTACCACTGTCCCTGGGAAGGCCCCTGTGGGCGCCGCTGTCCCCGCAAGAGCCGGTGTGGACACCAGAGCCCCTATCAGAGCCCCTGGGGACGCTACTGCCTCTGGGATGGTACCTGGAAGAGTCACCACCTCTGGCAGGGCCCCAGAGGGCGTCCCTGGGAGGGCTCCTGTGGGCACCACTACCCCTGGGAGGGTCCAATTGGGCGCCGTCGTCCCTGTGAAGGACCCTTGGGGCTCCATCGCCCCTGACAGGGAACCTGGTGGCATTACCACCTCTGACAGGAGCCCTGAGAGCGTCCCTGTTTCTGGGAGGGCCCCTGAGGGGCACCATCGCCTCGGGCAATGCCCATGTTACATCTCCAGTGGGCGCCACCGCCCCTCGGAGGGCTCCTGGAGACGATACCGCCCCTGGCAGGGCCCTTAGGAGCACCGCTATCCCTGGGAGAGCTCCTGTGGGCACCACAACCCCTAGCAGGACCCCTGGAATGGTCCCAGGGTCACCGTCGCCCCTGGGAGGGACCATGGGGGCACTGCCGTCCCTTGCAGGGTCACTTGGGGTACCAACGTCTCTAGGGGCGTCACCGCACCTGGAAGGACCCCTGTTAGCACTACCGCCCCTCGCAGAGCCCCTGGGAGGGCTACAGGGAGCACCACCTCCTCTGGGAGGGCTCCTGCAGACGTCAACGCACCTGGAAGGGCTCCCAGGGGCGCTGCTGTTTCTGGGAGGGCCGCTGAGAGCGCCACTGTCCCTGCAAGGGCACCTAGGGGCGCGACCGCCTGAGAGATATGACGTTAAATAGATACACCGTCCATCGCATTTCCAGTATCATCATATCCTGAACAATGAAAAGGAGAATAAATATCCAACAGGAAAACATAAATTTGGGTGTTGTGCCGACTGATTGCTCTGTTCTCATATTGCCTTTAATTTGGTGGATTTACATTTTATTCCACCAATCAGAGTTAAGTAAGGAATTGCTGGACGTATGCAATATTGTCGACACCACGCTCAAGCCCCTAGGGGGTGTGCTTTCCATGGAAGGCCCCCTGGGAGCGCCACCACCCCTGGCAGGACCCCTGGGAGGGTCTCAGTGGGCGCCGCCGTCCCTGGAAGGGCCCCTGGTGGTACCACCGCCCCTGGAAGGGCCCTTGGGGACGCCACAGCCTCTGGGAGGGCCCCTGTGGAAATCACTTTCCCTGGAAGGACCCCTGAGGGTACCACTGTCCCTGGGAAGGCCCCTGTGGTCGCTGCTGTCCCCGCAAGAGCCCCTGGGGGCACCAACACCCCTATCAGAGCCCCTGGGGACGCTACTGCCTCTGGGATGGCACCTGGGAGAGTCACCGTCTCTGGTAAGGCCCCAGAGGGCGTCCCTGGGGGGGCTCCTGTGGGTACCACTACCCCCGGGAAGGTCCCAGGGGGCACCGTCGCCCCAGGGACGGAGCCTTGGGGCTCCACCGCCCCTGACAGGGAATGTGGTGGCATTACCACCTCTGACAGGAGCCCCTGAGGTGCACCACCACCTCTGGCAATGCCCATGGTAGATCTCCTGCGGGCGCCACCGCCCCTGGGAGGGCTCCTGGAGGCGATACCGCCCCAGGTAGGGCCCTTAGGAGCACCGCTATTCCTGGGAGAGCTCCTGTGGGCACCACGACCCCTGGCAGGACCCCTGGGATGGTCCCAGTGCCACCGTCGCCCCTGGGAGGGACCATGGGGGCACCACCATCCATTGCAGGGTCCCTTAGGGTACCAACGCCCCTAGGGGCGTCACCGAACCTGGAAGGACCCCTGGGAGCACTAGCGCCCCTGGCAGGGCCCCTGGGAGGGCTCCAGGGAGTACCACCGCCTCTGAGAGGGCTCCTGCAGACGTCACGGCCCCTGGAAGGGCTCCTGGGGGCACCACCGCCCCTAGCAGGGCTCCTAGGGGCGCTGCTGTCCCTGGGAGGGCCGCTGAGAGCTTCACTGTCCCTGCAACGGCCCCTGGGGGCGCCACCACCTGAGAGATATGACGTTAAATAGATGATGCACCGTCCATCGCATTTTTAGTATCATCGTATCCTGAACAATGAAAAGGAGAATAAATATCCAACAGGAAAACATAAATTTGGGTGTTGTGCCGACTGATTGCTCTGTTCTCATATATTTAATTTGGTGGATTTACATTTTATTCCACCAATCAGAGTTAAGTAAGGAATTGCTGGACGTATGCAATATTGAGCTCAAGCCCCTAGGGGTGTGCTTTCCATGGGAGGCCCCCTGAGAGCGCCACCACACCTGTGGGCGGGCCCCAGTGGGCGTCGCCGTTCCTGGAAGGGCCCCTGGTGTGCCACCACCTCTGGCAGGGCCCCTGGGCGGGCCCCAATGTCCCTGGAAGGGCCCTTGCAAAGGGCCCCTGGGGACGCCACCGCCTCTGGGAGGGCCCCTGTGGGACCTTCCCTGGCAGGACCGCCGACCACTGTCTGGGAAGGCCCCTGTGGGCACTGTCCCCGCCAGCCCCTATCAGAGGGGGACGCTACTGCCTCTGGGATGGTACCTGGAAGAGTCACCACCTGGGAGAGGGCGTCACCCTGTGGGCACCACTACCCCTGGGAGGGTCCAATTGGGCCCCAGGACCCTTGGGCGTCATTACCACCTCTGACAGGAGCCCTGAGAGCGTCCCTGTTTCTGGGAGGGCCCCTGAGGGGCACCATCGCCTCGGGCAATGCCCATGGTACATCTCCAGTGGGCGCCACCGCCCCTTGGAGGGCTCCTGGAGACGATACCGCCCCTGGCAGGGCCCTTAGGAGCACCGCTATCCCTGGGAGAGCTCCTGTGGGCACCACAACCCCTAGCAGGACCCCTGGAATGGTCCCAGGGTCACCGTCGCCCCTGGGAGGGACCATGGGGGCACTACCGTCCCTTGCAGGGTCCCTTGGAGTACCAACGTCTCTAGGGGCGTCACCGCACCTGGAAGGACCCCTGTTAGCACTACCGCCCCTCGCAGAGCCCCTGGGAGGGCTCCAGGGAGTACCACCTCCTCTGGGAGGGCTCCTGCAGACGTAACCGCACCTGGAAGGGCTCCCAGGGGCGCTGCTCTTTCTGGGAGGGCAGCTGAGAGCGCCACTGTCCCTGCAAGGGCACCTGGGGGCGCGACCGCCTGAGAGATATGACGTTAAATAGATACACCGTCCATCGCATTTCCAGTATCATCATATCCTGAACAATGAAAAGGAGAATAAATATCCAACAGGAAACATAAATTTGGGTAAGCTGACTGATTGCTCTGTTCTCATATTGGGGATTTACATTTTATTCCACCAATCAGGAGTTAAGGAATTGCTGACGACACGCACCCTGCCCCTAGGGTGTAAGCTTCCATGGAAGGCCCCTGAGAGCGCCACTGGAGGCGGGATACCCTGCCCCAAGGCTAGGGCCCTTGGAGGAAGGACCCCTGAGGGTACCACTGTCCCTGGGAAGGCCCCTGTGGTCGCTGCTGTCCCCGCAAGAGCCCCTGGGGGCACCAACACCCCTGTCAGAGCCCCTGGGGACGCTACTGCCTCTGGGATGGCACCTGGGAGAGTCACCGTCTCTGGTAAGGCCCCAGAGGGCGTCCCTGGGGGGCTCCTGTGGGCACCACTACCCCCGGGAAGGTCCCAGGGGGCACCGTCGCCCCTGGGACGGAG